ATTTAAGCAGCTGTCTGTAGTAATTACACTTCAAATGTGCTAAAGGAAAAATAGACTGACACCATGAAAAAGGGGTCCAGGGATGACGCATGTGTCTCGGAGTCGGTGTGGATTGACACATTGATAGAGTGGAATTCTCTGCTTTGTGAGACAGGCGAATGACGGATAAGTATTGGTTGCCAGTTTTGCGGTCTGTTGTTTGGTCTGTCCACTATTTGTACAGTGACAGCAGTTGTTCGTGCACAACCAGTTTATTTTGCAGTTGCACCCAGTGCAACTTTTGAAGAAAAAGTCAGTCACACCTTAAATAAATTTGGTCGCAAAATGCGACTGTTCATTCGCAGTTTGGAGCCCTGTACTACTGAAGTCAGGGCATTATTGCAGGACAAGACACAACAGACTTTAGTACACACAACATACAGTATACATGCACACACTGCAAGTATAATAACACAACAAAAGTGTTCCCACAGTCTCACACACATTGACAGCTTTCAGTAAGTCATCCAAGAACATAATCTTGTTTCTGGTGCCCCACTCTGTTTAGGGATTTAGTGTCCCTCTCTGAGGAACCATTAGGTAATGTTGCTATGCTCTCCACTAATCCTGAGATCCTGGAGAAGAGAGCTATACATCAAAGGCAGAGTACAGCTATCGGCAATACCTGCTGTTTCCATGAACCTGGCTGACCAAGTGAAAGCTCTGATCCCTCCCTTAGCTCACCCAGTAAATCGCCTTCTGTCATGAACGATTTGAAGGAACATTTTTAAGCCTTGAGATATTTCATTCATAGGTTGTATCAAAGCAGTTACAATTCAATATCACGGTCATCAAAAGCTAAATTTACACAGAAGTAATGTGTGACTATGTATTACATAGGTTCCACTGGGATTATATTAATTTGTACTTCAACACAGATGGCTCTAAATAGCCCCAGCTTGTGACTTATATTACATACACTTGAGTCACTGAGATCAATTTTCATGAATGTGCAAAATTGAAACGTGCTGAACTTTTTAACCCCGTACCGTCATTTCATAACACTCACCCAAATTCTGAAGGTGTTTCCCAAAAATTCTATAGACTCTTCTAAAGATGTGGAATAAAACAAAATCCGGTCCAGTCCAGGAAATTCATTAATATTAGTGTAATGTATTAGTCTATTGTAATACAAATTCTAGGTTTGTAATACTTTGTACCATCAGTGAAGATTAACAGAAGCGCTGTAACAATATACTAACACCCAGAAGTCAGGTGGATTGTGTTTAGATGGCAAAGGTTTGATCACAGATTTGAGCAGGTGACCTTTTACTGAAATGGTTTCCTCCTTAACTCCAGAATTCCTGGCCAGTTTCTTTTGTGACCTTGTTATTGAAATGACTTTGTACCAAAAAAAGTATACCATTCATCTTGACATTCCAGGAAAGTTCAGGGGAAAATGGAGTAAAATGCTGGGGATCCAGCAGGTACTGGCCAGACCCAGTGCCGCTTAGCTTCCAAGACTGGGCATCTCCAGAGCTCACTGGGGAACTAATTACACTGTATGCCATGCAGTATATCGTTACCAACCTATAATCAAAATATACTGTGATAGAAATTTTAGGTTAGGTATTCATTATTGTTGACAGCAAACGTGATGTCCTCTTTAAGACAGCAGCAGGACATAGTAAATATAGAGTGAAACAAAAATGTGTCTGCATTTTTTTTACAAAAGGACTTTGTATCACCTTAAGCAGCTAATAGTGATAAAAGTAGTGTTTGTGGTATGTTCATAGTATTTTGTTCACATCTATAAATATTTTTATGCATTTATGTGTATGCATGCGCACAGTCCAACGCCTGTGTGTTGTTTTCCATGTGAGTTTATTTGAACCACATGGCATTTGTCAAGTGTCAGTTCCTCCTACCACAGTCACATGTTGGCAATAAAAAAAAAACACAGAACACCCCAGAATCCTGGCTGCAGAAACTGGGTCACCACTTTGACAGGCTTGTTTGGGAAACACACATACAATGCAACACAACACGTTGAGAGAGAAGTATGAAAACGTGACTATGACTCCAGCTGAAAAATGTAAACAGAATAATGAAAGAAGCTGAGTTTCTTCATATATATTTTCCTCTATCTTCTCACTCTCCTTTCTGTTTGTACCTTTAGCTGTCTTTCTCATCATCTTTGTGCTCTCATTTGATTCCATGCCCTTTCTCCAGCAGCGTAGGCTCTATCCAGCAGTCTGTTTGCTTTTCATATAAACTGCTGCACAGTGTCTTCTAACATTGTGTAGGTCTAACAAAACCCTTTAGACCTACTAGAGGAGGGAGGACCACTTGTTTTGCCTTGAACGAACCCTAGATAATGAATGAGACATTCAGAGGCTTAAAGTCCTGCATGTTGAGTTCAATTCAGTTTTATTTGTATAGTACCAATTGACATAGTAAGGTCTAGCTCTTAAACCCCAACAAATGTTTGGTATTATGGGCGGTTTTCAAGCTGATTCCCAGCTGTTGTTGATTTTTTACAATCCACTTTCATGATGTAGTTTGGCGCTGGAACCACAACACATTTTTTACATGTGTGACACAGCAGTGGCCCGTTATCAGTGAAAAAATCATAAACTGAGATGAAATAGCAGAAACATTGGATGTGCACCATTTCTTCTCGCCACCACCAAAATAGTGGCGACCTGCGTAAGCGGCCATTGGACTTGGCACCTTTCGGGCCACATCCATCGTTTATAAGCATGTGTCTGTTTATTAACAACGGTCTTCGCCGCTTTGCCCACAGTCCGCTTGCTTTAAGTCCCTATTTACCTCTAAATCGATAAGATACTTGATCATTTTGCCTCTAAATCTAGGTGCGTGTGTTCTACTGTGCTTGTAATGCTAAGAGTTGAGGTGTGAAGATGCTGACATTTAACTAAACACAGGTGACTGCTCTGCACAAACACACCCAGTCCCCCCTTTCATTACTGGAACTTGATTTTAGTACTGTCTCCTGAGGGGTGCCGAAAGTTAGGTCCTGGAATGCACCCCCAAAGCAGTGGAAACAAACGCAGAAGAGTCACTTGGCTTGACACGTTGGTTGGTTGCTATGGTGGAAGAACCCTATTAGACTTATCCATCAGCCAGTTCTGTAACGAGAACGTAAAGCCTCACCCTTCCACTGGAATCCTGTTAAACAGGAGTATGTTATAACACAGATTAGTGCCATGTGCCTTGCCCAAGAGCAGCCCTGTTGTTTCCTGAAGGAGCTGGGAGTGTTAGTCATTCACTAATCAATTCCCTAAATTTTCCACTTCTTCTGACAAGCCAGCATCACTGAAATCTTCAAGCTTAGCCAGTATTCACAGTGGTAGACATAAATGTTTCAAGCATATTGAGGGTTTTCTACAATGTGTCTCATGACACGTGTCTGATGGTGACTAACACTACTGGTCTTCTGGTTTAAACAGAGTAGTTCCTCTCTAAACATCTCCATTACACAGTGCCCTTTGCAGGCCCCCATGCTAATGGAATAAAATGTGCCCTCTGTCCATTTTTATTTTTTAAGGCATCTGGTTCCCATCCTACTTCTTGGGGCTTACATTTAACCCATCCTGAGTTTCCAGCTGCTGGAGAGCCTGTTCCAGTGGCTGTAATCCTGAGTGGATGAGAGGGAAAGGGACAAGGAGTGAAAAAGAGTGAGATGGAGAGATTTGAGGGTATGTAGGGAGCTAAACAGAGACAGATGAAGAGAAAAGCAAAGAAAGAAAGATGTAATAGAAATCTTTCCATGTCTGATGTCAGACGTCAGCTGCAGTCGGTTCAAGATGTGGTTTCACATACAATCTTCCAATAGACAGTGACAGCAGAATAGAGGACTTGGCTCTCATCTCTAACGGTTGAATAGACCCTTGAATATTTATACTATATCTTATTTCAACAGAAACACCTTTACTCCAACTTAGGCCACATGGACAAGTAGTAATCTATAAAACTATATGCTATCATCTATATTTACATCTCTCTCTCTCATTGTAGTTGAGTCTCCGGATGTGGTGGCTCTCCCTCTGATGGCAGTACATTATAAATGCAGGATACATAATTTCCCTTTGGCTGTTTGTACACGACTTTTCTAACTAGAATCAGACCATATTAAATTGATTTCCTTCATGCAAATTTGATAGGAAGAGCACTTACATAAATTGGAAGTAAACCTGAATTCTTGTTTGCTCAGTCCTGTGATTTCAGTGCTTTAGATTACATTTGATTTTCAAGGCATTATATATTAATATTCCACATCATGGGTTGTATGTTTATTGAATGGCACTACTTTTTAGGTTTGAGCAGTTTCTGTATGCTGGGAGGTTTGCACTTAAATGAGCTGTGCTGTCAAACACAATACTGGTGTGACACAGGTGCACTATATACGTCCTGAGGAACAAAGATGAATATCAATTTATTGCATAAATAAATTAAACTGGACAACTGTGTCAAGTAAGATAGCTATCACAGATTCAGATGTTAAAGATGCTTTCTGTTTCTTTCTCCATAGTGGGAGTGCAGCAGCTGCACTGGTGACACCCAGTGGAGTCAACTGGTAACTGGTACTTACCTAACAGAGTTAATGCAAGCTCATTGCTCTTATTTGTATAAGCTCATATAAAAGGGGAACACAGCAATTTAATTTAGATTTTTAGAAGCGTATTTAACCAGTTACACTGCATATGCCTATAAAGAAATTTCATTTACTCAAGTGTCCAAGCTTTAAAAGTAGCATTTTTATTTACTTCTATTTCTGTGACTTCTGTATCAGTTCTTGTCAGTATTTCGTGAACAGTAACTGCCAAAACACTATACTGCAAAAGTGTATGCCACTCAGACTGCCTGTGTCGAGCTGCTAAAGAAGGTTTAAAAGGACTGCAGAGCAGCTTTTAATGCTGAGTTTTCCATCAACAACATTTGCTCCCATTGCTAACGGATGCTAGCAGAAAGCTAGCTACGTACAAAAAGGTTGAGACAAATTTCACTTTTCCACTGTTTATTTCCTTTTAAAATAATTCATACAAATGCATACAGTCACAAACATATCTTTGTCAGGTTGTCAGTTTTGACCAAAAATAATGATATTTACTGTAGAATATAGAATATGTATACTGTATATTGCTACGCCTACTACTTTACCATAAAGGAGACCAAGGTAGGCAACAGTGGACTGTGTTACCGTCAGGGATGGAATTTCAAGGAGCACCTCGACACTTTAAAAGCAGGTTTTTGTATTGTTTTTATTTGTGTCGCCCATTGGTTTGAACGTGGAATTCTTACACTTTATATTAGGAAGGACTAGCGAAGAGTTTCTCAGAGTTTCCCATATACCAACAGGTATCAGGTGAGAAAACATTTAGAGTAAAGATCAGAATATTCCACCATTTCTTTGAGGATTTTGGGGCTCTAGCCTGACACTGATATTAAATATCACCTCGGTACCTTGTGTACTAGACACCCCGTTCAGATTCTGGCCAGTGATGACAGTAAAATATTCACCAATGGCTAGTGAAATTTCCATCCCTGATTGCTACTCTTACTACCTCACCATGAAGACGACCAGGTAGGCAACAGTGAACTGTTTTTACTACTCAGCTGCTGGTAGAAGGGGATCCAGAAAGCACCATCACTTAGCTGGCCTGCTAACATCAACAACACATGAACTGGAGTAAGTAATAAATATTCCAGATAGAAAAGAGCTTCAGATATTTTACTTCTGACAAATAATTTAAGCATCTTGTTTAAATTGTGGGAATATTATCAGTAAAGACATGGGTTACTGGCTCAAATTTTTAGCAAAGCATTTTTAGTTTTTTACCTAGAGGTTAATTGTGTATTTAGATTTCAGTCTTTGTAATGATGCCTTGTGGAGAGTACTAACCACCACCCCTCCTCCCAGTGCTGCTTTTTTAGACACAGATACAACCAAGTCACATTGACACAGGCAGGCATAACACCATATGTACACATAGACACAGAGGCCACAGAGGGTGGCTCAACGGTATACTTTGGAAGGACCCATCATGAAATGTTAAAGGGACACCAGGCTGGAGAAATCCATACGCTCTGACATGCTTTACTTCATTGTGCATATATGATTGGTCTCTCTATGAGTTTGTTCTTACAAGCAGGACGTTCCTTTTTTAGAAAGTTGATCAAACTGACATACCATTAAGTCTTAATAGATTGATTTGGATGCAGAACAAAAACATGATCATTTGGTCTGACCTAACTTCGAGCACACACTTGTTCCTCATTTGTCTGTAACCACTAACTGATGTGACCTCTTCAAACAGGAACTGAAAATGGTCGTGACAGGAAGCATTGCACTTCATACTGGTTCAGTTTGTCACTGTTGGCTGATTTGACATATCCAAAACTAGAAGGGCAACTTCAGTGAAATACCAATTTATAGTGAGATCAGTTTTGCAGAATGAAGCAACACACTGATTTGTCAATGCTGTGCATCATTTGTAAACCTCAGTGTGCTGAACTGTGCTCCATGACCTGGACAATGTAGTAGTGGAAGTACTGGATCATTAGACACAAAGAAGACAAAGATAAAAGCCATTTATGAGAATGTCTCAAATCGTAAGCTGCTACAAACTCTTAGTGCATCGCTGTGTAGACAACTTGCGTTCTCTTACAGACCAATTAATCTAGTCACTCTATTCAGCAATTCAAAATCAGGACTAGGGATGAAGCCAAGCATACCATTTTGCCACCTCCCTACAACCTTTCCTCCCACAACCCCTCAATTTGGGTTAAACATTTACAAAAGTCCAAAAAGCAAGATCACATGGCCCTTAAACATGAGAAACAAAAACAAATATTAGCTGATGTTAAGGTTTTTTTTTTACTGTAGTGGGACATGAAAAGGCAAGCAGGTAGAAAAACAAGAGCACTAAGTGGCATAAAAATGAATTTAAAACAAAAAAAATGTAAAAACAATATACCAACTGTGGAAACTTAATTTCCTGAGATGGTGTGCAAAAAGCTGCCTCTTTTTGGGGGAGGGGGGCTTGTTAATTTGGGGACACATTAAAAACATGGTATTGTTAAACCAATTTGGCTACATAGAGAGATCACACAACCCTTGTTTTTGTTAAGACTGGAATACAAATATCAGTATCTTCTTGCTGCAAGTCTAAAAACTGTACACAGACAGGTTACATTCATTTCATAACCTACTACTTTTGCTTGCACATCAAACTAACAAAGGACAGATAAAAGAGAGAAAGATCTGTAACCTGCTCCTCTAACTTTGGACACATTACAGTCTAAGACAGCAGAATTTAATTGGGTTTTTTTTTTATTATTCCAAATCAACAAATTGTTATTTATAATTGTATTTATTTATTTATTTATTTTTACTTCTGGCAGAGGAAACTGTTTAACACTTAACTATAGTTGTTATGTAGAGATCAACCTGCGGACCTTGAGTTTTACAGTCTTCTCAGAACTTCTAGTTGGGCACAGGACAACTGTCCTCTTTGATTAGAGCATCTGACAGCTATCCGCTCCTCCATGCAATCCTCTTCTTCCACTTCTTCTTTGGAGTGTGAACTGGCTGCTGGGAACCAACTGCCAGAGAGATGTGAATCAATTGTTTGTGGGACCTCAGCTTGTCCATCTGACACTCTGTGAACCTGTCTAATAACAAACCTGTTACCGCTTTGACACCAGTTGCCATGACACCACTGGCTCTGGTCACCAGACAGCATGGACAAGCAAGTGTGTACGTGTTTGTAGCTACAGTTGATCATTCGGATGCTGCTCTCTGTCGCCCTCTGGCGGCTTCACTGTGTTTTGTCCAGGGGATGGGGCATGGGGAGGGTGTGTGACAGCTGGCGGGAGGGTGTGTGAGATGGGCACGGCACTGGGTACGATGCCTTCAACTGGAGGTGGGAGACCGCCGGCCGGCAAGTTCACCACTCCTGGGGGATACCTGTAGGAGAGAGAGAGAGAGAGAGATACACAGCTGAGTCATCCATCCATCCATCCATTTTCCTCCGCTTATCCGGAACTGGGTCGTGGGAGCAGCAGTCTAAGCAAAGATGCCCAGACTTCCCTCTCTCCAGACACTTCCTCCAGCTCCTCCGGGGGA